AGCGGCCTATATCTACTATTGGTAAGCTATCCACTAAGTTGGAAACTGTTTAGCCAACGCTTCTTTCCTGACTGATGGAGCTTCGGCATGTTTGATCACCACTGAAGACTTTGCTCTTGCTAATGGGTACAAGCCCCTTGCCTACCTTCGGGAATATCAGTATGTTGCCCAAGACCCTAAGGATCAACTTCTTCTCTCACCAGCTTACGTCATCCCAAAGTTGTTGGAGCGGGTATGCAATTCTTGTGTTTTTTGACTTTGATCTTTGTGATTTACGCGCTTTTCAGGTCGGCCTTGGATTGAATGACGTTGATGTTTTCGAAATCCACGAAGCTTTTGCTGGACAAGTATTGGCTAATCTGAATGCGCTAGATTCTGATTACTTCTGCAAGGTGAGTTCATTTCTTTTTCATTCTTCTGCTATAAACAATGTGCTTTTGCCGAGGTGCCCTTAGGGATGATCTTTATACTTTTTGTAGAGAATCAGACGCTGATTTCAAATCTACCCTTTTATCTGATGTATGTCTCTGAATCCCAAGTTATGAGTGTTTTTTGAATCGAATGATGAACGAGGAACATTTGGATAAAACCAGTGGTTGCAGTAGGTTCTTCCACTGCATAAAGATCTAGATAATGTTGAACCAGTTTGCGCGTTCATCTGTTCAACCCAAAAATGTTCATAAGTGGGAGTGCAGAGGCGCGCAAGCAGATAGCGAAGATAGTTGGATTCATTTTTTGATAAGAACTAAGTATGATCTGTGCCTCAGAGAGGTTCCCATGGGTATCTACCATTCACGTGGCTGCCTTTCGATCGTCTTACATGTTGACTTCGAGCGTAGGTATCTTCTTTTTGGAGTCAACGTGTTGAAACGATCGAAAGGCAGCCGGTTGACGAGTACCTATGGGAACCTTTCTGGGGCACAGACGGTAGACTATCTGGAAGCACCACTTCAACTTAGAGTTTCCCAATCAGTTTTTCACTTGGTCACTTCGAACTATAGGAACACATGGGACGTTCCGGTAAATTTGGCAGAATACCAATGGATAAGATCAATCTTTGGGGAGGCTCGCTCTCATTAGGACATCCGTTCGGTGCGACTGGTGTCAGATTGGCTTCCCATGCTGCTGGGAGGTTAAAGGTAGTTTTTTCTTTTAATTTCTATTTTTGAGGAGAACTTGGATCTATCAGTCAAAATTATCTTTTACAGGAGGAAAAGGGACAATACGCAGTGATTGCTGCATGCGCTGCTGGAGGACACGGTGTTGGAATGCTTGTTGAAGCATATAACAAGTAATTAGGATCTG